TACAGGTGTCTCCGAAGATACTTGTTGAGTTGGCGTATTTCGAGATTACGATTTGTCACTCCGATTGTCGAAGAGGTATCTCTGGGCCCACTCGGTAATGCACATCAATATAAGCCTTGCAAGAATTGTAACTAATGAGTTAGTTGCGGGATGATGTATTACGGAATGAGTAAAGAGACTTGCCGGTAACGAGATTGAACTAGGTATTGAGATACCAACGATCGAATCTCGGGCAAGTAACATACCGATGACAAAGGGAACAACGTATGTTGTTATGCGGTTTGACCGATAAAGACTTCGTAGAATATGTGGGAGCCAATATGAGCATCCGGGTTCCGCTATTGGTTATTGACCGGAGACATGTCTCGGTCATGTCTACATAGTTCTCGAACCCGTAGGGTTCGCACGCTTAAAGTTCGGTGACGATCGGTATTATGAGTTTTGTGTTTTGATGTACCGAAGGTAGTTTGGAGTCTCGGATGTGATCACGGACATGACGAGGAGTCTCGAAATGGTCGAGATGTAAAGATTGATATATTAGATGACTATGTTCGGACACCGAAAAGGTTTTAGACATATATCGGAGTACCGGGGGTTACCGGAACCCCCCCCCGGGGGGGGGGCATAATGGGCCTACATGGGCCTTAGTGGAAATAGAGGGTAGCAAGGGGAGTGTGGGGCGCGCCCTCCCAAGGCCCAAACCGAATTGGTTTAGGGCAAGGGGGGCCCCTCTTTCCTTCTCCTCCTCTCCCTTTCATTCCCCTCTCCTACTAGGACTAGGAAAGAGGGGGCAAACCTACTTAGAGTAGGATTGCCCCCCTTGGGCGTGCCTCTCCCCTTGGTCGGCCCTCTCCTCCTCCCCTCCTTTATATACAGGGGTAGGGGGCACCCCAGAGACACACAATTGATCATTGATCCCTTAGCCGTGTGCGGTGCCCCCTCCACCATAATCCACCTTGATCACATCGTAGCGGTGCTTAGGCGAAGCCCTGCATCGGTAGCATCATCATCACCATCACCACGCCGTCGTGCTGACGAAACTCTTCTGTGAAGCTTTGCTGGATCGGAGCTCGCGGGACGTCATCGAGTTGAACGTGTGCAGAACTCGGAGGTGTCGTGCGTTCGGTACTTGGATCGGTCAAATCGTGAAGACGTACGACTACATCAACCGCGTTATGCTAACGCTTCTGCATTCGGTCTATGAGGGTACGTAGACACACTCTCCCCTCTCGTTGCTATGCATCACCATGATCATGTGTGTGCGTAGGAATTTTTTTCAAATTACTACGTTCCCCAACAAGGGTGATGATGAAGAACACCTCCGTGATTGTTGACCCCTCCGGCAGAGTGCTGGAGAAGGCCTCTAGATTGGATCTCGTGGTTCTGGAACTTGCGTGGCTGGAATTGTGTTTTGACGATTCCCCTAGGGTTTCTGGAATATGTGGGTATGTATAGAGTTGAGAGGCGGTGGAAAATCCTCCTGTGGGCCCCACTACCCACCAAGGCACGCCTGGGGCCTCTGGCGCGCCCTGGTGCCTAGTTGGCCCCACGAGCCTCCGCTGTTACACCTACTTGGCCTCCTGGGTGTCTTATGGGAAAAAATCTCCAAAAAGTTTCGTGGCATTTGGACTTCGTTTGATATGGATATTCTGCGTAATAAAAAACAAGCAAAAAACAGCAACCGGCACTGGGCACTATGTCAATAGGTTAGTCCCAAAAAATGATATAAAGTTGCTAGTAAATGAATATAAAACATCTAAGAATGATACTTTAATAGCATGAAACAATGAAAAAATATAGATACGTTGGAGACGTATCAACTAACACTGCCCAGGTCATCAATCTCGTACCAACACATCTCCTTCCTTCTCTGCTTTGGGCTCCGCCTCCATAGCCACACCCCAGCCATCGGGAGAGAAGAAAGGGAGAGGCATGGGGAGGCATCAGAGAGTGAGGGGGCCGCCGACGGCAGCAGAGCAGGAGGAGGCATGCAGCGGGACAGTAGGCAGTGGATTTTTTTTGCTAGAGGGTTGGTTGTGGAGGCGAAAATGGGAGAGGTGGAAGGTGGGGAAGAATAAACATGAGAGGTTCGTACAAGATTCAGTCTAAACGATTGATTCTGGCGCTGAGTCAAAGCAGTGAATTTCACCAGCACAACAAAGGTTTTATTGCAAACACATGGCAATCAAATAGTAGAATACTGCCAATCGGTCACAACTCGCATGAGAGCCTCAAAATTCTGAGCAAAAGGTTGGCTTAGCCACTTTATTTAATATATGTATATGTGTGCGTGCATTCTTCAAAACAAACACCTCCATAAAGTAAGCGTCGTGGTAACATCTATACCCTGAGGGGGGGGACTAGTATAGATCCTGCCATTTAAGTGAGATCGTAGGATCAACCGTAAAAGTCATATTTAGACATTTTAAAAAAATCTTAATTTTTTTACAACAAACCTGTGGGATATGTCTGCAACTCCAAAAAAAATCAGTTCAAAACTCAATCTACACTTAGAGATTCTAAAAAGACAAATTTGACTATGAATAGTGTCAGTTTTGGTTGAATAGTACTCCCTTCGTTCTTAGATATTTGCCATTCTAAAGATTTTAACAAGTGACTACATAAGGAGCAAAATGAATGAATCCGTATATTGTAGTCCATTTGAAATGTCTAGAAAGACAAATATTTGGGAACGGATGGAGTATTTGACATTATTCACATGCAATTTATACTTTTTGGTTCTTTCATTGTAGTTTGAATTAGGAGCAGAAACTTTTTGAGATTGTACATTAAATATGGATGTGTGTCCTCAAATATTTTCAGAATTTTTAAACATGATTAATCTTAAAAAAAATGATCTCATTGGTCTCGTCTAAGGGCGGATCTTATACTAGTCTCCACCTCTATACCCCTGGTCTTGTAGCTAACGTGGCAAAGTTGCGTGGGTCAAAGGTGATTTGCTTGACAACAAAAACAACGCTCCGGCGGGTCGGTTTCTTCACTTGCACAGCCTCTCGATCCGTCTCGATCAGTCGTGGTCATCCACGATGTACCTAGGCGTGCCGCGCTGCATGCGAGCCCACGCACAAGCTGCGTGATACTCACTCCGTTTCAAATTACTTGTTTTAGATTTGTTTAGATACGGATGTATCTAACAGTCTAGGTACATCTGTATCTAGATAAATCCAAGACAAGTAATTTGGAACGGAGGGAGTAGATGCGGCGTCGTAGTACATCTTTCTCGATCGTCACCGTGCCCCGACCGTCCTATATTACGGCGTCCGCCAATTCTTCTCGGGTCTGACCGAAGCAGCTCTCGGTGGTGGTCTGGTGGACTTGGATCAGCTGGGCCACGGCTGTGGAAGCTCGGAGCCAGGCGGACCGGCACGCTGGTGCGGCTGCCACGACCCAGAGGAGTCGCCAACTTGTGCCGTGTCAGTCGATGGCGACGACCATGTAGTCTCTCCGTCCAAATATTTTCCCACTCATATGTTGTTTTCCTTGCTTATTGCTGTATTTTTTGTTTGCAGACCTTCCACGTCGCAAACGAACGGAAGTCTTTCTGCTCAAAATAGTGGTCAGCAGCAGTCGAATCTGAACATGGCTGTTAACTAGCATAAATTATACAAGTACTAAAACTGGACCCTCATCATATTTATACAATGTAAAGCTACCAATTTCTGACTAAAGAGTAGGTCAAGAAGTTTGCAGTTGTTCCAAACTAAATGTCTTGGGGTTATCGCAAGCATTTCTTTATAATGATATATACCATGAGAAAAAGGCAAAGCGTAGCAGGAGTACTATTCATAACCATCGCCAAAAAAAAAGGCATAGCATTCACAAGGTCGTACATAGGCGGAACTCGGCTCCGCTTACAGTCTGAAATCCAAAAGGTTTGGTTGATTTCCATATCAACCAAGAGCAAGCACCACGTCACCCACGCAAGCCAGCACACACGCTAAACCTGTCAAACCCCTCAAAGATCATCAGAGCGTGATGATCGTTGCTCACAAAAACAGAGCAAACTAAGCAATTGAGAGTTGCAAACTAACTCACAGCATACACAACACACGCATAATCAAACTAGACTAGACAGCAACTACGGTAACTTTATATTAGCGGTTCATTGAGGTCGTCGTGGCTCCATCTCCAGCAGCTACTGGGTCTGTAAAGAATACAAGGGTAAGTTAGATCCACGTCACTTACTGTTGAAGCAATAATTACGTGGGTGAAACTGAAGAATAGGCTATCATTAATTATTTGCCTGAACAGTACAAAGGTTCACGATTGCACAAAACAGTTAAACTATTTTGGGTGGTTATTAATAGTATAACAACAGTAAGTAATGGTTACTGGGCCATAAGAGCAGAAACTGTAAATATCTCCGTCCCTTTGGAAAAACACTGTAAAATCTTTTCCAAAGATGCTAGAGAATAGAGGTAGATGAGTGGCAACAGATGCAATGCCTACATTGCAGTGAAATTGGAAAGCTGAGCCGATAAGTAGTGCGAGTCAGCACCTACTCACATGTTGGACGAATAGATGGGAGTATACTAGTGTAGATGGGAGTATACTAGTGTAGATGAGTAGATAAGTTCCGCGAGTCTGCAACTACTGCTCAACGAATCGATGTAGTGCCTAGTGTAAAGGGGCTTCTGATTTGTCGCACTAGAACATTGTGATGGCAAGCTGGCAGCACTCAAGAGTCAAGACAAAACATAAATTTATATACTAGTACAAGATTTTCTGTCGTAACTGACACCTCCACACTTCTTGGTGCTTGGATGAGCACATTAAATCTGATACTATCCCTCCGTTCACAAATATAAGATGTTTTGTATATTTTAATATAGATTATATACCAACTAGAATGAGTGAACAAACACACTAAAAGGTGTCCATATACATCCGATTCAGAAGAAAGTTAGAAAATCTTATATTTATGAACAGAGGGTGTGTAGATTTGTACAACATAAGATAGTGGAAGCAGAATTATCAGTTCATAAACGCACCTCATCAATGGCATCATCATCATACTCCCCATGCTCTTTCAATTTCATCGGTTCAACTGCATGGAGCTCTAGTCAGAACATAACTAATCTCAATGACCAAGTCATAGGAAAAGCTCTGCACATGTTAACTTACCTAAAATGTGGCAACCAGATTCCCCTTCTTGAATCACTCTGCTAGAATCACCAGCTCCAGCAGTACCATTATTATGCTCCTCATCAGAGCGGCCACCAGATGACATCCGCTTTGCAGACAGGCCGCCTTTAGCGGAGGACTTCTTAGAAGAAGGGCAACTGGATGTGAGCCTCTGTAACGAGCCCCTGCAGAACGGAGAGTTGTTGAAAGGGCTACCAGATGATGATAAGCGCTTTGCAGACAAGCTCCCTGCAGCAGACGGAGACAATTTATCTAAATGGCTCTCTGACGAGAGGCGTCTTTCAGATGCTCCCCTTGCTAGAGGGGATCCTCTCAAGCTCAGCCTGTCGATGGAAGAGCGACATGCTGACTGGACTATTTCACTGTCACAAGGACCTTTGACACCGATAATCTTTTCGAATTCAGAATGTTCTTCAGCTAGCCGGTCCACGATGACAGCCTCACAATCATCAAATGCAAAACTTTCATCCAGTTTCTGCTCAAAGCTCGGTTGGTCCATCTCTTCCTCTCCTTGTTTGATAACACTGACTTCCCCCACATCAACAAGATCACCACCACAATCACGTTCAGAGCATTCATGCACCAGTGTGGTAGCATCAAGCTTTTGGTCAACTGTATTTGTAGTTGCAGGTGTATCCACCTTTTCAGACCCATCAGTGTCAAACTTCAGTTGGTTCACTGCCATGGCATGGGCAACCAGGAGCTCATGGAATAAAGGGGTCAAAGTGCTAGCACTCTCATGGCGCGCCACATAGTTCCTGAGCTCACTTCGGATCCTGTGAAATGGCTGCCCACAAAACAAAACAAAACAAAAACATGTTCTTATTCCCGAAATAAGGAACGGTCTTAGCCTACTTGGATTGGTACTAAGTACAGTACTAATCATAACTGAAAATCAAACTAACCATCCATGTCATGCTCATATGCTCCTTACAGTAAAAAGGTGGATACACAGAAAATATATCAAATCGTTCACTCGTAAGTGTGCTTTGAACTATTACCTGAGCTTGGCATTCAAATGCAAGGCGGAAGAATGCGGCAGAGACATTGTGCTTGCCAACAGACTCGGCCAGATGGATCTGTGCCAGCCAGTAGGAGGCGGACTCGAGCTGATCAAGCGTGCAGCTGCTGCAATTCTGAGCGCTGAAGAACGGGGTCTCTGCGGCCACAACCTTCGCCGGCTTCTTCTCCAGGGGTTTGACAGGCACCATAGGCGTGCGCCCAGCAGAGTCTTCGGTGGATGCTTTGACCTTCTCCCCGCTTCCGGAGGGAGCCAGCGCTGCCACGTCATCCTGGAAGCTCACCCTCTGGCTCTTTTTCTTGGCCTTGGCCGCCAGATCCGGGGGGGCTGGGCAAGCTTTCTTCAGTGGCTTTTCTGCGGGACGAGAAGGCCTGGCCGCCTTGGCCGGAACCGGCGGGGACAGCCTCGAAAGCTTTTGCTGAGGTGGCGGCGAAACCTTAGCAGGCTTCTGCGGAGGCGGAGGCGATACCTTTGCCGCAGGCTTCTGCAGCTTCGGCGGCGACACCTTCAGAGGCTTTTGCGGAGGCGGGGGCGACAGCTTTGAATGCTTCTGCGGCGGCGGCGGGGCCGGCTTCTCGGCCAGGGAGTTGCTGCTCCGGACGGTGCCGAACGCGCGCCGTGGCCTGAAAACAGCAGACCTAGCCTCGGTAAGCAAGACGAACAGGATTACATACACACAGTCAAATCTAGAGACTCTAGAGCCGCAGCGGTCCTTGCCGTGGCTGGGGAGCGGCCCCCGCGGAGACGGCGCTGGTGGTGGCGGAGGTGGTCATTCTCCCGCGCGCGGTGCCGTTGGCGACGGACTTGGGCTTCGGCGCTGGCGTCTTTGCCGGCGCAGCGACCGACTTCCGCTTCGCTGCAAACCACGAAGAAATTAATCCCCGGAAACGAGAGGCAGGGCTCGGATGTTGAGAGCGGAATGGCGCTGATATC